GGAAGCTTGTTTGGTTATAAGTTATGCACATTGATTATCAATCTTAAATAATATTTGCTTATCTGCAAGCTTGGAAAAAATAGGCTCCTGACAGATGTAGAAGCATTTCTTGCTGACATTCCAAGGAGTCTGGAATGAAGGCAAACAAGGATCTCTTTGAAAGTGCAGAGCAGCTAAAGAGTGTGGTACAAACCCTTTTTGTTCTGTAGGACAGAAAGGAATAGCATTTTTCATACTCTTGCCCAGCCACATTTATTTGTAGGGGACAATGCAAAAGAGTACTGTTTGTGGCGGGGGAATGGCTTGCCTTTAAATAAGGAATTGTTTAATTAGATTGGTTTTGTCTAGGAGCATATAAGGCAGTGTTGCTGAGAAAAACATTCCAGGCTGGACAGTTGCCTGCGCCTCATTGGTGAGCCTCTGGTAAACTACTGTGGAGGAAATCATTTTGGACTGTTAATATTTGCTAGTTGTTAAAAATAGCCTGCTTGCATCTCTTCATTAGGTGGAAGGCAATGTTTTCTGCTCCTGGCAAGGTTCATTTTTTTGTTGGAAGAGTATGAAAGTCATGGGACAGAAATCCCCAAAGAATGCCTTTCCAGCAGCACGTTAGAGCAGAAAGATTTGAAGCTTACATCTGAAAATGGCAGGACAGTTTTATTGTGCTTTGGTGAAATAAGAAGTCAAAGCCTTGGGCTTGTGTTTTATTTCTTCTCAGTGACTTCGAAATCTTGCAAGGGCTGTGGAAATTGAGCTCCTGCTGAATCCGAGTTATGTCAGTCTTGCTTGTCTTGGAGAGTCTGATCAAAACAGCTGTGCTCTCCTTTTCCTTATGCATGAGGGCCCACACAGTGCTTTAATTGTGTAGCACGCATTGTTGGAGATCATGACTGGCAGTGCAGAGATGGTCATAGTTCCTACCAGCTACTAGTGTTGATGTGAGTTAGCAAACACGAAGAAACTGGTATCGTGCTACAGCTGGTATTTTTTTTTAAATTGTGGTAAAATATGTGTAATGTAAAATTTTCCATTTTAGCCATTTTTTAAGCTTATAGTACAGTTCAGTGGCAATAAGTACATTTACATTGTTGTGCAACCATCACAACCATACATTGCCAGAACTCTTTTCGTCTCGCAAAACTGAAACTCTATACCCATTAAATACGAACCCCATTTCTTCCATCCCTCAGTCTTTGGCAACCACCATTCTACTTTCAGTCTCTCTGAATTTGACTATTCTAGGTACTCATATAAGTGGAATCATACAATATTTGTCCTTTTGTGACTGGCTTGTTTCACTTAGCATAATATCTTCAAGGTTCATCCATGTTGTAGCTTGTGTCAGAATTTCCCCCATTTTAAGGCTGAATAATATTTCATTGTATGTATATACCACATTTTGTGTGTCCATTCATGTGCTGATGGACATTTGGGTTGCTTCCACCTTTTGGCTATTGTGAATGATGCTGCTGTGAACATGGGTGGACAAATATCTATTCAAGACTCTGCTTTCAGTTCTTTTGGGTATATACTCAGAAGTGGAATTGCTGGATCATATCTAATTAGTTTTTTAACTTTTTGAAGAAGTGCCATACTGTTTTCCAAAGCAGCTGTGCCATTTTACATTCCCAATAGCGATGCACGGAGTTCCAATTTCTCTACAACCACAATGCTTAGTACTTTGTTTTTTTTAAAGTAATAGCCATCCTAATGGGTGTGAAGTGGTATCTGATTGTGGTTCAACCTGTACCTTTTAAGATGTACATGTGGTAATCGAGAAGCATTTCTGCTAGAACCCTGCTGCTAGAACTAAGTGATGCTGTTGTGTGTTTCCACTTTTGCCTTGGAGCCGTTTGCCATGGAACATTCAGCTAGCCATCCATGACTCACTCCTGGGAAGAGGGTGAGGGAGTGGGTTGTGTCTGTGTGTTGGGGGAAGCTTTTAATTCATAGCAGTCATGTGTTTAGGCACTTTACCGTTAACAGTTAAGGGAAAGGATTTGGGTTAGATATAGAATCAGAGACCATTAGAGCCAGAAGGGACGTTAGAGACAAGTTCACGGAAAGCACACATTTTGCAAAAAAAGGAACTGAAACCCAGAGCATGTAAGTCACCTCTTCTTGACTTGAGGGTAGTGACAGTGTCTTGCTCACTGTCCCCAGTCTCTGGCAAATAGAGTCAACCAGTAAATGTTTGTGGAACTGATCAATGAATTACGTATGCCCAGCTGACATCTTAGTGTCAGAACTAGGGCATTCTGTCGGCTCCACATTCTATTATGGTGACTGAAAAATGGCCGATTGCTTCAAGGACCAAGTGAATCTTTCTTGCCTCCTTTTCAGTTGCTAGGGCCACAAGATCAGATGTGGTTTTCCCATGGTGAGGCCCTCTCTTCCTTGGAGGTAGGTTTGAAGGGGTCTTAAAGAAGACAAACTCAGCTCAGGAGACTGACAGAAGGCTGAGGAGGGCTGGGCTGGCCGAGTGATAGCCACCATGCTTTGATCACTCATAAATCTATTCCGCCTCATCCCTGCCCCAGAGCTTTCACCTTCCAATCTTCCTGTCCTTTGTGTTTTTCTTCCCTCTGGAGAAGCCCAGCTCTTCGTGGCTGCCTCTGTAGGTCTCTGTGCTTCTAAACTAGGAGGTCTCCATCTTGCCTGCATCTTAGAATCACCTGACCTCTCTGGAAAGCCCTGCTGCCAGGCCAGTTAAGTCAGAATGATTGAGGATAGGACCCAGGCAGCAGTATTTTTAATGTCCTTAGCCTCCCTCCTTTTTTACCTATTTCAACAGTTTTCCTGATTGTCTGCCTGAGTCTCATCCCTCCTTAACCGTGAAACTTCTTGTTATTTGCTTTGGATCTAAAGGGCACATACTGTAAGAATATAATAATACTGTAATAAATTCACACAATGTTAATGTTACTTCACAATTACTTGGAGGTTATCTGTGCTCTTTTCCATTTAGATTATAAGTTCCTGAAGGCGGGGATCATGCCTTCTTTCTCCTCTGTCCCAGTGGTTCTCAAACTTAAGTGTGCATCACAATCACTTGGGGAGCCTGTGAAAACACAGATTTCTGGGCCCACCCTGGGAAAGTCTATTTTGCTAGGTGTGAGTTGGGACCCGAGAATGTGCATTTCTAACAAGTTTCCAGGTGATGCTGATGCTGCTGGTCTGGGGATCACATTCTTAAGAACCACTGCTCTGTCTTCTGAATCATGTGTAGGGATGCTCGATAACTACTGGCCAACCAAAAGGAATGGAGCACATTTCCTCTTGGTTGCTCTCCTGAGTCACTGTGTTCCGCTGTGGCTGTGGGCTGGTCCCTAGGCTGAGAGAATGAAAGAATGTGTGATGGATCCCCTACACAACTGATCATAACTGAATGATCATACAATCATATGTAGTCATAACTTGGACTTCCCAGTTGCCAATTCCTTTCCATTTTGAACCTTGCTAAGAGGATTATTTTTCTCTGTGTGTGTGTGTGTGTGTGAGTTGTTGGTTGGGCATTTAGGCTATATAAAAAGATTTGACCAAATTATGCAGGATGGGATCACAGTTCACCTTCTCTCTGCCTTTTGAGGTAGAATGTGAGGGTGGGCAGTGGCGGGAGTAAGTTTTTGGAAAGATTGGTGAAGAATGATTTCTAAATAGAAGGGAAACTCAGCACAGTCAATTTTTAAAAGCGAAACAAAAAATTCCCTGAAAGTATTATTTTCTATGAATTATAGGGCGTCCAAAGTATTCTTGTTTTTTATCGGGAAAACAAAAAGAGCTCAGGTGGAGCTGATAACTGCTACCCCCAGCCCTAGTGAATTTCACCAAGAGCTACAGTTTGTTGTTGTGTGAAAAACTGCCGAGGTTGATGTCAACGGTCTGTTCAGATATTTATATCCTCCATATCTTTTAATTAAGTGCATTTCCGAAAGGGAATTGATACTGAAGTTTTCATCCTGAATGCTCTGAAAAGTTTAAACTACTTTTCCAGTTTTCATTAATGGTTAAACGACTTAATGTATTTTGGTTTTTTTGTTAAATCAGCTGGTCTTTCCAGGGGTATCAGGGAATTATTTTGTATTTTCTTTTAGGTAAAATTTTTTTGAGAGATAGATCATTGAGATTTTCTCTAGGGAAATTTGGTGCCTATTTTGCATAACTGGAGAGGGTTGGCATTGGAAGTTTAACGCAGGGCTGTTTCGTTTTTTGTGGATCTTTAGTGTCACACCTTGAATTTGAGCAATGCTCTTGCTTATATGGTGTTAATTTAACATGAGGAAAATTAGAGTCAGAAAACAGCTGATGATTACATTGGAGAAGCACTTGGTTTCTTAGGTACCGAATGAGGGGAGCTTCATTGATCTGATTCATTTGCATCTCTAAAAGAACACATTCTTTCTTAGGATCGTGCTGGGGGAGACGGGGAAGAGACCCACCCAGCTGCTCTTAACAGTCAGCTAAGGGCCCTTTACACTGAAAAGTCCCCGTTTGTGGGTGGAAAAGCAACCTTGGCTAGTCTTAAATGATTGGAAAAGAAACCATTGAGGCCCAGCCAGGTGGGGCAGCGGTTAAGTGCGGGTTAAGTTCCGCTTCGGCGGCCCGGGATTCGCGGGTTCAGATCCTGGGTGTGGACATGGCACGGCTTGGCAAGCCATGCTGTGGCAGGCGTCCCACACATAAAGTATAGGAAGGTGGGCACAGATGTTAGCTCAGGGCCAGTCTTCCTCAGCAAAAAGAGGAGGATTGGCAGCAGTTAGCTCAGGGCTAATCTTCCTAAAAAAAAAAAGAAAAAAGAAACCTTCGAGTTCTTCACTTATATCAGATGAGGTTGTGGTTATCTGTTCAGTCTCTTGCACTTCCTCCAAATGAACGCTACTGAGAAAAAAATCCATATCCAAGTCTAAGATGCACCTGGATGTGGAAATCTGAAAAAAGTAGAGAAAATTCGCACACAGGCAAAACAGTAAAGATTTTGATTCTCTTTTTTTCCCATATAGGTGAATTTTGTGGCATGCCAGCTCTTTGCTTTGCTTGCTGCTTTCTGGTTTCGCATCTACTTAAGTCCTGGTAAGACCAGTCCCGATGTCCGGCACGCATTCGCCACCATTTTTGGCATCTATTTTGTCATCTTTTGTTTTGGCTGGTGAGTATGAGCCTCATAAATTCTGGTCTTTATCATTTGGGTGTTTTGTGGCAATATTTTTGGCATTTCCCAGACACTAAGGAAAGAAGTATATTTAGTCTTATTGTAAAATACGGAGGATGTTGCAGGAATCTCCATTTACTGTAAGAACCTGGAACCAAGAAACTGACTCCCCATTAGAAGGTGGTGTGTTACCCCAGCCCCAGCCCTGTAAGATATTAACCACAATCTGCTCAGAACAAGCCTAACAAGTACGGTGAATTTTTTCTTAAACCTTTACTCATCTCCCCTGGGTCATGTAAATGGAATGTTATGAGGTTTTATTTTCTGACCGGGAGACTTTCCTAACCGTTGTAGATATTGGTGTTTTTCTTGCACGACTGCTGGAGATATTGGTGTTAGTCCTGCACTTAGAGTAGAACAGTAGTTTCAGTCCGGCTTTAGGCAGTGGGAGTTATTCTTTAACAGAGAAAGCCTGTGGATTATGCTTTTCTCTACCAGGGAAGCTGGACAAATACCCTGGGAGTGGCACTTGTTGGGGAAGAAATTTTAAAAACCAGCATTTCTAGAAGTCCAACTTAAGACAATTTGTGAATTTGTTCAGGGTCCTAGAATACTGCTCCTCTTCCTTCAACAAAAATTTGGGAAAGGGTGATGAGTATTTTGAATCAGCCACCAGGTGAAAGTCTTGGTATCTGGGGCAGCTCGGTTTTAAAAAAGTCCTGAAGAAAGAAAGAACTCTCTTCCAGACTGTCAATTGTATATATGAGAAAGTATAAGCATTCCATTTCTGGATTCCTGACATTGCTAGTGCTGCAGTTGGCAGACTATGGCGTAACTTCCTAGTGTCATTTCAAGATATAGTGTCTTAATTACATATACCAAAAGTACTTGATTTCTTTTCTCTTACATAAACATGAGTTAACAGATCACTTGCTTTTTGGCAGGGGGTGGAGGTGGAGTAGCAGTATGGGTGGCCAATAGGTATGTTAATACAAAATATATTCAGTGTTCCTCCTTCCCCCCCTGTGATGTCTTAAAGGTACTCTGTACATCTTTTTGTGCTGGTGTTAATGTGCTATGGAATCATGGTCACTGCAAGCGTATCCAATATTCACAGGTAAGACCCTGGGAATGAACAGTGCAAGGTGAGGTTTGTCCTGATCTTTGACATGTATTTCTGGGGTAAAGGGGGTACCTTCCCCCTTTGTCACAGTGGTGTGTCCTAAGTTCTCTGGGATGTTAGGGGGGATGGGGAGCCCTAAATGCTGGGAGTCTTCAGAGAAAGCTTTATGAAAAAGGTGGTATGCAAATTGGGTCTCAGGGGAAAAAGAATATATCAGAATTCGGCAGCTCTATTGACCGATATTGGTGATAGTTCCAAAGTGGAAACAACCCAAATATTTACCAAAATGGTGAATGGAATGGTGAAATGTAATACTACTCAGCCATAAAAAGGAATGAATGATTGGTACACACAATTACATGGATGAATCTCAAAATAAATATGCCGAATGAAAGAAGCCACACAAATTCTATTCTCAAAATGCAAACTAATCTGTAGTGACAGAAATCAGAGCAGAAGTTGCCTGGGGTGGGCTGGTGTGGGGAGATGTGAAGGGGATCACAAAGAGGCATGAAGAAACTTGGAGGGGTATGGATATGTCCGTTATCTTCAATTTGGCTGTGGTTTCCTGGGTGTGTACATATGTCAAAACTTTGTATACTTTAAATCCCATATATAATTGCAACAAAAAGAATAAAATACCTAGGAATAAACTTAACCAAAGAGGTGAAAGATCTGTACACCAAAAACTAGAAAACATTTTTGAAAGAAATTGAAGAAGACACAAAAAAATGGAAAGATATTCTGTACTCTTGGATTGGAAGAATTAACATAGTTAAAATGTCCATACTTCCCAAAGCAAACTATAGATTCAATGCAATCCCTATCAAAGTTCCAACAACATTTTTCACAGAAATAGAACAAAGAATCCTAAAATTTATGTGGAACAACAAAGACCCCAAATAGCCAAAGGAATCCTGAGGAAAAAGAACAAAGCTGGAGGTACCTACTCCCTGTTTTCAAAATATGCTACAAAGCTATAGTAACCAAAACAGCATGGTACTGGCACAAAAACAGACACACAAATCAATGGAACAGAATCGAGAGCCCAGAAATAAACCCACGCATTTATGGACAGCTAATATTTGACAAGGGAGCCAAGAACATACATTGGAGAAAGGAGAGTCTCTTCAATAAATGGTGTTGGGAAAACTGGACAGCCACATGCAAAAGAATGAAAGTAGACCATTATCTTACACCATGCACAAAAATCAACTCAAAATGGATTAAAGACTTGAATGTAAGACCTGAAACCATGAAACTTCTAGAAGAAAACATAGGCAGTATGCTCTTTGACATTGGTCTTATTTTCAAGTACCATGTCTGATTGCACAAGGGAAACAAAAGAAAAAGTGAACAAATGGGACTACATCAAACTAAAAAGCTTCTGCATAGCAAAGGAAACCATCAACAAAATGAAAAGACAAGCTAACAATTGGGAGAGGATATTTGCAAACCATATAACAGATAAGGGGTTACTATCCAAAATATCCAAAGAACTCATACATCTCAACAACAAAAAAACCAACAATCTAACTAAAAAAATGGGCAAAAGATCTGAACAGAGATTTCTCCAAAGAAGATATACAGATGGCCAACAGATACATGAAAAGATGTTCAACATCATTAGCTATCAGGGAGATGCAAATCAAAACTACAGTGAGATATCGCCTCACTCTGGTCAGAATGGCTATAATCAACAAGACAGGAAACAAGTGTTGGAGAGGATGAGGAGAGAAGGGAACCATGATACACTACTGGTGGGAGTGCAAACTGATGCAGCCACTATGGAAAGCAGTATGGAGTATCCTCAGAAAATTAAGAATAGATCTACCATATGATCCAGCTATCCCATTGCTGGGTATTTCTCCAAAGAACTTGAAAACACAAAGGCATAAAGATACATGCACCCCTATGTTCACTGCAGCATTATTCACAACAGCCAAGACTTGGAAACAACCTAGGTGCCCATCAAGGGACGAATGGATAAAGAAGATGTAGTATTTATACACAAAGGAATACTACTCAGCCATAAGAAATGAGGAAATCCAGCCATTTGTGACAACATGGATGGTCCTTGAGGGTATTATGCTAAGTGAAATAAGGCAGAGGGAGAAAGTCAAATACCATAAGTAGAAGATAAAAACAACGAAAAACAAACACATAGCAACAGAGATTGGGTTGGTGGTTACCATAGGGGAAGGGGGGACAGGGGAGGGCAAAAGGGGGATTAGGCTCACATGCAAGGTGATGGACAATAATTAGTTTTTGGGTGGTGAACGTGATGTAATCTACACAGAATTCGAAATATATTATGATGTACATCTGAAAAAGAAAATCTTCAATGGAAAAAAAAGGATGATCAACTTTTTTTGTAAAACATTCATCCATTTTGTGAAGTTAAGCTTAGTTAAAATTGGATAACATAACACGTAAATCCACTAACCAAGTAGACATAAATGTCAATAAGTAACAGTGAATTGAAAGCTAGAAGGAATAAGGGGTGCATTGTCATCCCCACTGGTTTGAAATCTCCACACTTCCCTAAGGATGCTTTACTGACGATATGCGACATGGGACCATATGACACACAGACCAAATGTGAGTGCCAGAGCAACCCATATATTAAGTATTACAAAGCTCAATATTTTAATATTGTAGATTAAAAACAAATAAAAGAAGTTCTAATATTTTCTTCACTATCCCATTGCAATGTGATGGCCAAGCCCTGCTTATGCACACACCCCTTTAGAGACTGCAATTCTAAAGCACAGGTCTGATCATATTCCTCTACTTCCTGAAAATTTGAGGGGCTCTCTACTGCTTTACCAAATTATTTTCATATTCAAGATAGTCCATGCTGTAATTCCAACCTATCTTTCCTAATTAGTTTTTATATATGTACCATTTGTTCTAATCACTTGGAAATACTTATATTTCTCAAATACATACCATACCCTCCCATCAATGGCTTTCTGTTCAAGCTATATCCTCCATCTAAAATATAACTCCAATTCCCGTTCCCACCTGTCAAAATACCTCCCATTCTTCAAAGACCGTCTCAAATATTATCTCAATGGAATTCTTTTAGATTAGTTAAATAAATTAATTTCTAACATAAAAAACTGTATACTTTAAATATGTACAATAAATTTCTTACTATGATATTTTGATTTCAAAGTACAGAAGTAATTTAATTCTACCTTGAAGGCTACATGCTTGGATGGTCAGTTAAGATACCTGGGATGTTTGTTTTGCGTTGTCTCTGTTTCCCATGGTCTTGCTGAAACCTCAGTATTAATTCTGCCTTTCAGTAACACTGGAGTGTAAGCCTGGTGAAAACAAAGCCTTTTCTCTTTTGTTCACTGTTGCATCCTCAGAGCCTAGAACAATACCTGGCACAAGTAATGGCTCCATAAATATTGATGGAATGAATAATCAAATATCTTTGAAAAGACATTTACCGTTTTTCTACTTCTTTTCTGATAGCTTCTCTGAAAAAGCAGATGCCTTATTTCAGCTTCAGAAAGCTCTTTGATTAATAATAAGACTATTGGCACCATAGTTTTCCTTCTTAAAAGCATTGAAATTTAACTTTTCAGTGTATAATCTTGTAATGACTTAAAGTAAATTTCTGGTTTTCAAGGGAAAATATTTTTGCATGCTTTTACATTTTAGTAGTCATTCAACTTCGTATCCAAGTGAGCTGTGAAAATTTAGTTCTGATCATCTCTCTTCTAAGTGCCCTCCTTGAAGGGGATAGCGTCATTCCTTCAGAAGGGAAATAGGAAATCCATATTTCTAAATTGGCAAGAATGGATTTGGGAAATGCTTCATATTATGACAAAATGCCCTTTTTAGTGGGGAGCGAAAATGCGTGGCTTTTCCTAAACTCGATTTTGGAAACAATTAAATGATGAATAAAAATGTTGTTGCATCTCTATAGCAAGCACATTTCCAACTACCTCACAAATCATAATTTGACAGCTCTACCCACACTGGTGATGCTCATGGGGTATAGTCTGATTTTCAGAGGGTCAAGAACTTGCATGCATACTTGTCCCATACCAGCCCAGGTTTGCTGTGTTCGTCTCTGGCCAGGAATGGAATTCTCCAGCTTTGGCAGAGCTGAGCAGTTTACAGACAGGCGATGACTATTTCACTGCAATAATATTGTGGTAGCAGAGGGCTGTGTCATAAGACCACAAAGAAAGGATGCCAGAGCAAGTTCTTCCCCTCCGTCTTTGCCTGTGCGTTTGCCAGAACCGCAGATGTGGGGAGCGGTTCACAGTTCCCGATGGATGGCAGTTGTTTCCTATTGATGCAGGGAAAAAGCATTAGACAGGAGTCAGGAAATCTGGTTCTTTCTAGCCGTGTGAGTTCAGACAAGTTACGCAGTTTCTCTGTACATCACATTTCCCACCAATAAAACATGGGGTTTGTGGAAGTTTGAACTTAAGTTCTCCTCAAGACCAGGATTTCATGATTCTTTGTGAATTGTTCTCTTCTTCCCTTTACTGAGCCAGTTATAAGAGTTGTGTCCACAGGAATAGCGGGGGGCAAGATTAGTATTTGTTGCCAGGTGGAACTAACCCTTTTCTGGACTGATTGTTGTTATTCAGGACTTGTCTAAGAGAGTTCTTGGAGTACCACCTCTGTTTCCTTCCCAAGCCACTATGTTGGGCAGAAGTCAGAGGCATGAATTTATCCTATATGAACCAACTGGAGCAGAATATAGTTAGTATCTCCTAGGACAGAGGCCTTGTGTGAGAACTTGGTGATGCATTTATCAATTTTGGAGTACCCGCTTTATGCCAGTGCTAAGCCAGGCTCTTTTAAATATATTACGATTTCAGTTTTTTTTTTTAAGATTGGCACCTAAGCTAACACCTGTTGCCAATCTTTTTTTTTTCTTCTTCTTCTCCTCAAAGCCCCCCCAGTACATAGTTGTAGATTCTAGTTGTGAGCGCCTCTGGTTGTGGCATGTGGGATGCCGCTTAAGCATGGCGTGATGAGTGGTGCCACGTTCGCACCCAGGATCCAAACCGGCGAAACGCCGGGCCGCCAAAGCGGAGCGTGCAAACTTAACCACTCAGCCACGGGGCTGGCCCCCATATTTCATTGTTTCTAACATGTAAACTTTTATTTACTATATCATTTAATAATCATTGAATATATTATATATAAATGTGTTAATATACATTTCATGTTATTATTGCAAATATATTCTTTCTAGGACAACTCTGAGATTTTTTTTTCCTGAGATGAGGAAATGAAAGCTCAGAGAGGTAAATAGATATCCGGTTCGATGAATTTTCACAAAGCAAATACACCCATGTAACCACCACCCAGGTCAATTAGTAGAATATTACTGTCGCTCATGTCCCAATCTCTACGAAATTCCTCCTTCCTGAAATAACCACTATCCTGACTTCTTACACCACAGATTAGTTTTGCCAATGCTGGGATTTGAACTCATGTTGGTCTGTCTCCAGAATACATGCTCCCTTTAGCACTCCTGGATTCTTTAGGTTTTTCCGGTTTGTCCAGGGCATGAATGCATTGCCCTGTTGTACTGGGATGCAGGACTTGCACCATCCTTGATAGGTGGGTCTTATTATAACAATTGAATTGACCTTGTTTTTCTCTCTGGGTGGGGGGCAGGGGAAGGTATGGGTCTAGCTCCTTCCTGTGGAAGAGAAAGGGGAAGTCACAGGCATGCCTGCATTTGAAAGGGCCCTGGAAGAATCTCTTTTGAATTTGCTTTGTGCTTCTGCCTTGAGCTGCGTGAACTCACTGGAGTAAGGGAACCTGTGCTGGAGGCAAAAAGGCCTAGGTCCATTCTACTTCTGCTTCAGCTCTTATGGGAGTTGTTTTTTCTTAGTCATTTGCTTTGTTCATCATCTTCTTGGTTTGGGAAGGGTTAAGGATGAACCCAAGGTAGGGAAAAATCTTTTTTGTGTAGTAAAGTCTTTGTTTGCAAATAATGGTAAGGAGAGGTAAAGTTATATAGCGCTTTAGAGTTTACAGAACTATAAACCATATTAATATAATATATTAATATTAATTACCTTAATATTAATATAATATAATTAATATAAATATTGCTATAGTTGAGAGTTTCCTTCCCATTCTTATCTGGCTCTCCCTTGCTACCAAATGAATTTTTATTATCCCTCCGTTACTGTTCCTTAGGTCGATCTAGTCTTCATGAATTATTTTAATGTGAATTTGTGAATTTCAGTATAATTTAATATCAGAATATGTATCTTCCCTGTTTTATGACCCATGTTTAAAAGTTATACCTTGAATTTATGTCTGTTTCTGATGAGCTCCTGAACCCTTTAAAGTGTTTAATATACTCATTTCAGCTCCTTCCAACTAATAGTAAGTGAACCCCTCCTATGGTCAAAGGTTGGGATGCTCAAGGTCACAATGAGCTGGGGAAGCAGATGCATATATTTTAATACTATAAGTTAGCATGTAGCACTAGAGAAAAACAGGCAATGGAGCAATGAATTGTGCTGGGAGTGGGGGTGGGATGGATAGAGCAAGGTCAAGCCAGGTGATTTTGGAGATAATTAGGCAGTTTCCAGATTGGATGGAGAAGGGAGTTGCAGGCAGAGAAAAGAGCGTGCAGAAAGAAAGCTGGCCTGAAAATGCAGGATGTAATTGTGGAAAGTGAGCAGTCCAGTGTAGTTTGAACATAAGGTGGACATGGAGCATGGCTGGTGATGAGTCCAGAAAGGAAAGGTAGAGCTGAGGGTGTGAAGTACCTAGAATGCTGTGTACTGGAATCCCACATCAAAATTCCTAGAGTGTGGGATCTGTTGGAGACTTTTAAGACAAGTTATATTTATTTGGTTGTTTGTTCATTCAACACACAGTAGTGGCTCTGGTGAATGAAACATATGGCCATCCTTGCTTTCAGTCTCGTAAGGGTGACAGTAGTTAATTGGATTACCACATATCTTTATAATTACAAATTGATGAATGTTCTGAATGGCGTGTGTGTGTGTGTGTGTGTGTGTGTGTTTGTATTGCTGGTTTATACTATAGTGGTCAGAGCCAGACTCTGAAGGAAGCCAGGGAGGGACCATGAGCAGGTGGTAACTGCAGCCTCAGGCATGGACGGGGAGGGCTCTGAGCAGAGCACTGGGAATGCTAACACTAGGGAGTAGGTAGAGGAAGATAATCTGAGCAAGAACCGTAGAAGAATTATCCAGAGAGGTGGGAAGAAAACAAGAATGGAAGCCAAGAGAAGAAAGTGTGTCAGAAAAGGAGTGGTCGGCACATGGTGATGAGTTGTGTTTTACTAAAGATCATCGTGTAAGTGTGATGGTTTGTAAAGATCAGAATCTGAGCACAAGATCTTGCAGGTCAGTGGTTCTCAGCTCTGGCTGCACATTGGAATTACACCTGCCAGGTGCATCCTATACCCATTAAACCAGAATGTCTGGGGGTAGGGACCAGACATCTGTAGTTTGTAAAGATCCCCAGGTCATTCTAAGGTGCTGCCAAAGTTGAGAACCACTGCAGTGGATGGACCAGGTGAGAAAAGATGAAGGGTTCAGAGCAGTGGTGGGAGGTGAAGGGAGGGGAGGGACTGGGATGTGGACAGACCAGATAGGACTTTGCGACTAATTTCAAGTTGAGGGGTGAGGGGAAGGAAGAAGATTAAATTGTTATGCATAATAATCTGAGCCTCTGTGTTTTTGGTTTCAGATATTCCTTTTTTGTAGCAATGGGATACCTTACGATATGCCACATCAGCCGAATCTACATCTTCCACTATGGAATTCTCACTACAGATTTTTCTGGGTGAGTATCTTGACTTGGGGAGGGCAGTTTGACTGGTGACTTTAACTCAGTCCCTTGGGGTCTGTAAAGATCAAGCATGTGCAGAAGAATCATGGGTGGCTGTTAAATCAGTTGGTAAGACTGTGCTAATGAGGTTAAGGTTGGAGATTTGATTGCTCTATAGGACTGTTAGCTCTGCTGTGTTGTAAGGCAGGAGTTGCAAACTATGGCCCGTGGGCTGTGTCTGTCCTGACGCCTGTTTTTGTAGTTATATTAGAACACAACCAGGCACTTACTCATTTATGTTTTATCTCTGGATGCTTTTGTACTACAGTGGTAGGTTTGAGTAGTTGTGACAGACATATGACCATATGACCCACAAAGTCTAAAATATTGACTATCTTGCTGTTTACAGAAAAAGTTTGCCAATACCTATTCTAAGACCCTTAACACAGTGTTGGTGTTTATCTCTTACTAGTTATTGATAGCTCCCATATTAGCTAATAAACGGCTGCCACCCTGACCCCCTTGAGTGCCCCCTGGCTTCCAGCAACTAGAAGGGTAATGCCCAGCGCAGAAGGGGGCTCCATGCTAGTTGTAAAAATTTTCTGTCACCAGGCCTTTGCCTGGTGGGCCACCCATCTCCCGATTGGTCACCTGTTGAAGACTGGGGATGGATCAGTGAACATTTTATGCTCTGGTGATGTCTGTTCAGGAACAACTTTTTATGAATCCTGAGGAATGCATGCTAAAGCAGAGTGATTCCTCATAACACGTTGTATCTTATCCACGAGACCTTAGGAGTTTGGTTCTGTTCTTTGCAGGCAGTCTGAGGTCAGGGGGACCCTGAACTGTCTTTGAGAGAATGGCTTGCATTTTATTGGATAAAATACTGGAGAAAAGGGAATGAAGTAAAGGGGTTACAATTCACAGCTCATCTCTGTGAACTTTGCAAGTTGTGCAACTAAACTGTCCCACCGTCAAGAGGCTCAGGAAGGCAACGTGTAGTTTTGGGAAGGAAAGACTGTTGCATTGAAATTTCCATGACTGTGGTTTGGTCTCAGCTGGCTTTTTGTGCCTCAGTCCCTGCTCTCAGGCCTCTGGGATTTCACCTGTTTCTCTTTCAGTTGTCTCCTCTCTGCATTCCTTTCCCCCCAGATTGTGGAGCATGGTTTTTCAATTTTTCCGAGACAAGTTCACAGACTTCTTTTATTTTTTAATGATGTGCATTACTAGCAAAATATGGACAATATGGGAGCAACAAAATTAACAGTACAGCCAGGAAGTTATAGTATTAAAAGTAATTTTTAAACATTGATCATAACTCTCCCTAGTATTTAATCAACAAACTTCATTTCTTTGGTTTCACCCCAGAACCGTGCTCCTCATCCCCCATACTTAGAAGAGTTCCTGGCACTTAATAGGTGTTCAATAAACGAACGTATGAAACACCTAGTATTTGTCAGTCCTTTATTCAGTGCTTCCAGGAACCTCAATTACACAGCCCCTCCAGCCATATTTGGTTGGGATATTGAACAAAAACTTTGACTTCAGCCCAAAGTAGATTATTACCTGTTTCTCAGTTGTATCATCCTTTTAGGCCACAAAGCGTATATTCATCCATTCGTTTCTGCAACAGTTTTTGAGTCTCCAGTATCCTGGGCACAGTGCCAGGTGCCAGAGACACTGCATTTGAGCAGCAGGAAGGGTATTCCAGGCACAGAGATGTCAGACAGGTGCCTGTGAAGGTCCCAGAAAGCCACCTCCCTTTCTGTTACCACTCACATCCCTGTGTCACCAGGTCCTATCAGGTCGGCAGCCTGGCTGTCGCTGGACTCCATCCGTTGCTCTGCATGCCCACTGCCACCACCCTGGACCACCACATGTCTGCAACTTTCCTAGCTGGCCGTCCATCTTTCCACCCAGCCCCTTCTCCAGTCTCTGGTCTCTATACCAACCAGAAGCAGGTTCTAAAATATCAAGCAGATGAGGAGCTGGCCCTGCCTCATCGCCTGCCACCTCCTGCTCCCGTGGTGCACTGCAGATGGCAGCAATGCCGAAAAGTTTATGGTGCCCATGCATGCTAGGTTATTTCATGTCTCTGTGCCTGTGCCTTGCTCATTCGCCTGATCAGAAGGCCCTGTACCATCCTTGTCTATATGGAAATCTCTTCCTTCATTTTCTAAAACTCAGCTCAAAGATCACCGCTTTACAAAGCTTTCTCTAATTGCCACCCCCTCCCTCCCCATCCCCTTCCTCCACATCAAATTAGTCACTGCATTGTGGACCTTGCACCTGGCTTTTAAGGGCTGGTGCTGGCCAGAGAGACCGTGGTGCACAGAGTGTTTGTAGTGGGCAGGCAGGGGCACTTCTGCTTTCATCCTTTGATTTGTACGCTTATCCTATGACATACGTGTTTATTCCCAAACTTGTTCATTCTGGTTTGTACCTATATATAAGCTGATTATATATGAATGTGAAAGGAGATTGAGGAGAACCTAAATTTAGGTTGGGTCCTTTGGACAGCCACCAAAGCAAGTTTAGCATGTTAAAAGTGATAGCTGTTGAATTAAATGGGGGTGGGAATGCTGAAAGGATTTGCGGGAAGATTATAAAAATTAAGGATTCTGTACTCAGATTGTTTTGCAAGCATCTTTACTTGCTTTTACCTCCTTAGTCCATGGTAGAGGAAATAACTCTGAAGAGAGTGGATGGGGTTTGTGTAAGAGAGATGCCATCATTCAGCAGATCCCCACTCCAAGGAAAGGCTTTAGTCCTACATCAAAAGTTTTGTTCATTCATTAGACACTGATTGAGAACCCTGTAAATTCCGGGCATGGTTATAAGAGACAGACGTGGGCAAAGACTGCAGAATGAATGCATAGTTATCTATTTCAAGTTTGTATAAAAGGTTCAAATGTGAGCATATCATTGTATACTGGGTTGATTCGTGTTCCCCCAAATGCATGTCCACCTGGAATCTCAGAATATGCCCTTATTTGGAAATAGGATCTTTGCAGATGTAATTAGTTAAGATGAGGACATACTAGATTAAGGGGGACCCTAAATTCATTATGACTGGTGTCCTTATAAGGCCATGAGAGACACAGACATGCGCATAGAGACACAGGGAGAGAACAGCCCATGTGAAGATGGAGGCAGAGATAAGAGTGGTGCAACTACAAGCCAAGGAACTCCAAGAATTGCTGTCAGCCGCAGGAAGCTAGGAAGAAGCAGGGAACAGATTCTCCCTCTGAGCCTCTAGAAGGAAGCAATTCCGCCAACACCTTGATTTTGGACTCCTAGCCTCCAAAATTGTGAGACAGTGTTTCTGGTTTTAAGCCACCCAATTTGTGGTAATCCCTTACAATAACTCTAGGAAACGAATATGCAATTTTTTATGATTGCTTATGTTTGGTGAACTAACAACTGTTGCCTTCTTCTGATCGTGCAGGATGAGTGCCTCTACTGCCCGTGTTTCTCCCTGCTCTTGTCACACCTCCTCTGCTGTTGATTTTATTCATAAAACCATAAAGTCTTGAATGATTGTTACATCATTTTTAGTATAACCAGAATTGTAGGAAGTTAACAAAAGGAAAAAATAAAGGGCCTTTGCGGAAAACAGCAATGTGCTTGTGGAATGTGGTGGATTTGGGTTTTGACAGCAAGGGAGGATGAAAATCAGTTCCTGTCAACTTTACTTTCAGCAATGTTATCACAATACATTTCCTCAAGGGATGGTTGTTCTCTGGCAGTTTTTGTATCTTCTTGTATTAAGAAATTCTGACATTACACACAAAACCACAGAATGTTTGAACTAGAAAGGACGCTGTTAATAGGGAAAGGATACAAAGAAAATATGTCTGCTACCTATAAATGGCATGCGATTTAGTTCTCTTAATTGCTCAGTGGAAATACTATCCAGTTCTTGGGGAGTGTGTGTGTGTGTTTTTTTTTTTTTTTTTTTTAACTATAGAGCATTATTAAGCAGCACTATTTTTTCCCTAGCATCATAAGTGCACAGTGCCTTACTGACATAAATCCATCTTCTTGGATAATGTCAGTAAACATAAACGGAGAAGTACCGGCCAACCTGAAATTGACAAGATTTTTTTTTAAAGATTTTATTTTTTCCTTTTTCTCCCCAAAGCCCCCCGGTACATAGTTGTGTATTCTTCGTTGTGGGTTCTTCTAGTTGTGGCATGTGGGACACTGCCTCAGCGTGGTCTGATGAGCAGTGCCATGTCCGCGCCCAGGATTCGAACTAACGAAACACTGGGCCGCCTGCAGCGGAGCGCGCGAACTTAACCACTCGGCCACGGGGCCAGCCCCGACAAGATGTTTTAAATCACAAATTGTCAATTAGAGAGATTCTTTGCCAATGTCTGTTCTCATTATGCTTGCAAGCAACTGCCAGTTATCCTTCAGAATGGAATTTAACATTACTATTTTTTTCAGTTTAAAAATCTTATTTAGGATTTTGTTGAAGAATAAAGTTTTGAAGTTGAACCTGGCGTTTTAAAGCAGCCTGATGTGGTAGCTCTTCTCTTTTGACATGCGTCCACGTCTAAGTGCAGAGCATCCCGTATTACCCCTTTAGAATAAGAGCACAGACAGGCGTTGAATGGGATTGGATTAGATTAGTGTTAGTGTCAAACAACATATATATGTTTTTAATTTTGGAGAACACACAAACTTGTACTTTAGATTATTCTGGGGTTTGAAATTTTATTTATTCTGAAAGTAATCAAGTTTCCATGAGCTGGATTGGTATTAATGGTGAGAATAACACACAAGATACACTTTTATTAGTGTAGCTAATACAGTTTATATCAATACATGTAGTAGCGAATGTCCTCTGTGATTTCTCTGTGAATGTGGGCTATTAAAAATACTGGAACATTTACTGTTCCCCTAGGGGAGGCTCAACAATGGCTTGTAATAAAGCTGGTACTTGATTCCTTTTAGGTTTGTGGCAGTGAACTAATTCTCTTTTGCTCACAGAAGAATGCAAATCGAGT